TGCCAAAACAATTCTTCCAAATTCATATTTTCTTCCCATAAATGATAAAACCCACCATCAACAGTGGCTTAAACTACTCCCCCGGTTCTTTTTAACTACAATTCGAAAACAACACACACGGTCCTCGCAATCTTCTTCGCCGTGCGATGAGGTCCCGGTGATGGTAGGACCCATGTTTGCTGGCAAGAAAACCACACTGCTCTGCCGATTCCAGGCTCAAATCAACAATCGCAGGTTTGAATCTTTATCTTGTCATATGTTATTGTTTAGATGAAATTTTGTAAGGTATTTTGTTGGTAAATACACTAGCTTCCTGCTTCCATTGTTATATATTTTGCTCACTGCTATTAGATGACCGACTGCGATAATAACTACTCTCAGCTTTCAGGCCAAGCTCCATAAGGCTATGTACCAGGGTTTTCTATTATAAATAGAGATGTAACCTAGACTTAAAATATCATTGAATAAAAACTTCTAGCGCCGCCTAGGCACCGAGGACGTAAGCACATTGCCGAACCTCGTAAAATTCTCGTGTTCTTTTGTTTTCTTTACCCGTCTTCTTCTGATCGGAAAACGATTGCGACCGTGATGATATCTTCTTGATTACTCGTTTCCCCTCCGTGATCGGGTGTTTATCAATGACATCTGAATCAATAGCTTTCATCACAGGCTGATGATCTTTGGTGGTATTGATGTTACTATCAGCACCTTTCTTCTTCGTTTCTTCTTTATCATCCTTGAGCTTTATCACGATCGGAACGAAATCCGTCGAGTTTTTATACGTGAAACGAACCAACGACACATCTTGTGAGCCTGTTTGTGAGTAAATCTTCTGCTTCTTCTGTTCGAGTTCGGCTAAGAGTGCAGAAAACTTGTCGAGGCCACGATCCGAATACGGGTTCTTGTCATCCTTTTTACGTCCTTTACTCTTACGAAAGCTGTTTCTTCTTAATTTTCTTCGATCACCTTCGTCTTCAGGATCGAAAGCGCCGCAGATGAAAGGCTGAAACATTTGAAAACGAGTTTTCTTCTTCTTGTTGGGGTAGTTGAGACTGTATTTGATTGAATAAAGGAGAGGCAAAGGACTTAAATGAAGTGGTGGGACAAGATTAGATTAGATCCAAACTTAGTCAAATTTAATGATTTGAGGAATTAAACAATAAATTCTTTACAGTAATAGAAGTTTCCTAATGGATTTTGGTCTAGTTTGACACACGATTTCTTGAAGAAGAGGGATTGAAATGGTCCATCTTGGATTAATGTTCATTATTATTGACTTTTCATCAGAAAAAATGATGCAACGGTGGTGGAATTGTTATTATTATCATTAATAAGTAAAAAAACTCAACTAATAACAGGTTGGTTTATTGAAATTTGACATTAAATATTTAAATAAGATCATAAGTTTGAATTTTGATATTTACAAATTAAATAAACTGAGTTGGAAAGATTGTACTATAATAGACCTATATAAAACCCGATCCAAATTAATCCTCAATATATTGAATAATGATAGTTAAAACAAAAAATATATATAAGTAAAAAGACCAACACTTTTCATCACCATGAAACTTCATTACATTAAGTTATTGTTGTTACTAAAGGAAAAAAATAAAATAATCCATTGACCGAAAGAATGGTAACCACGTTTGAAATGATGATAGTGTAAATCTTCGTTCACAGATTTGTACGAGTATACGTGTAATTTTTGAACATTCAAAAGAGATTACTGAAGAAATGTTGCCAAAGGATGAGTCGCAAAAGCTGACATTAACGTACATAATTTCAGAAAATTCATGAAAAAATTAAATGAAAAATATGTTGATGCACAACTCATAGGATTGCAGTTCATGATTGTTTAGATAGAAGGAAATAACATAATATATATAACTTATATTAGACTTCATGCTAGAAAAGAAAAAAGAAATAGAAGTGTCAAAATTGGGATTTGAATTAGGCTCCATGGATATAATAGAACCACCTAAACCACTAAAGCAAATTAAATCCTTGCTTTAAATTTTGATAGATTTTATATACGCATCATATTTGTAATTACTTTCCAATATCCATCTTATTTTTAATTAATTTTAATATGATAAAAAAAATTAAAATATAAATATTTATCATATTTTATCTATAAAAAATTAGTTTTCAAAATAATAAAAATATATTATAAAATTGAATAGTTTAAATTATAATAAAAATATAATTCAAGATGAATCTAACATGAAAATTAATATTTATAATAATTTATATATTCAAAATTTAAATTAAATTTAGATTAAAAGAAAAAAATATTAAATATATTTTTACTTTTAATCTTGCATTAATTATTGATTATAAATATATAAAATTTTTCCAAATTATAAACCAACTATGAATTTACTTTAGTAGTTTAGGTGCTCCTATTATTTCACTGGGTTTGAATCTCATTGACACTTATTTTCTTTTTTTATTCTAATATAAAGGTTAGTTTAAGTTATATATATTATGTTGTATCTCAAGCCACAAGAAGAATGTTGGCCTAGTGGTTGTGTCCTGCGTTAACCACCCCAAGAAGAAAATTTTATTAAGCTAAATAAATCTAAAATAAGAAAAGTCTCTCCGATAAGATTTTGATATGTGCCAAGATCTTATTAGAAAATAAAATTTATTAAATTAAATTAAAATTAGGACTAAATTGATAAAATATGTAAATATTAAGAACTAAATGAGTAATTATACAAAGTTTTTTTGCCACATCATATCATCCGTTAAAAGTTATCAGCCAATGACTTAATTGAAGCATTTAAATAGTTGGATGATCTTATTGACGAAATTGAAACATTGATGGTCAAAATGAAAGGGATAATAGTTGAGTGATCACCCGTGTAGTTTACCTAAAAGTTTAATATTTTTTTCCAATAAAATTGGTAATGCAATTTTTTTTTTCTTATCCCTTTAATATATTAAATTATATTTAATAATTTATCTTAAATAATGAATATTCATTTGGATCCCAGAGGGTTAAATGCATCCTCCCCCGGATAACCACGTGACTATTTATGCATAGGAGGAAATATAACACTTAGTAAGATACATGAATCAAGTGACCTTAGTGATTAAGGAATTATTATTATTCCTTACGGTCCCAAGTTCAAGCACTATGTATACCAGAGGTATTTGCATTTAATGTCAAATGAAACTTTTTGAACATATACTACCTTGAGCGTTAGGCTTTTTTATTCTCTCTTACTGTGCTATTCTATAAAGACATAAATGAAATAATATTTTATTTTAATTCGTATAAAAATCTTTTAGCATTGTTTCTCATTTTTATCTATCATTTCTCTTTTTTGATGACTCGTAAGAGATCTTCGAGTGACTTACGCTATGATTTATTGTCCGAAATTTTGACGCTTCTTGTCGAGAGTTCCACAATGGACTTGTCATGACTTCGTTTAACTTGCAGGACCAATCGGGAGGTTGTGAGAAGTCGTTATATTTTTGTGAACGTTCAACTTCATATGTATGATTTAATATCTATTGACCATAGAGAATAATTATTTTTATAGGGGCCTTGTAGGTTGAAAACATGTAGAGTTTGTATAGACTGTTAATGTCCTTCAAGAGATTTTATGGCACCACTGAAATTAGGTGTCAAATGTTTCGAGAAGCTTATGGGTGGGGTGTTACACACGAGGGGTTCGATATGCTATGTGTCATGGGTGCCTGCACTTTGAGAAAGATTGAAAGACTATAATACATTGTCGATACAAATGACTTCCAATATTCTTAGGATCCCATGACTTGTATTCCTTACAAAGATAATGAGGATCAATTTGCCCATTTGATAGGAGATCCATTGGGTGTTTGTACTGCTTTCGGGAATATGAAAGGAATTATGTAGTCGATGTACTTAATAGTTGCAATGTTCATTCGACTCATGTGTTATGGGCCTTAGACTTCAATTACCAAGCTTTCTCGAGTAGGACGCTATAGATGGTCCATATTTTGCATTTTTAGTGTCATGTAATTGCAAAGTTTATGTGATGAAGTTTCTATTTTTTTGTTTCTAAGTCATTTTGAACTTCAACAAGGAATATAATAGAACAAATTGAGAAATATTTATTAAGCACTTCCCTTGAAATACTATACTTTTAATGCTGCAAAAACAGTGACCTGTAAGAAACCCGAAGAATGGTAGTGAAATGCATTTGCAAATCATATTAGGGCGGTAAATGAGACGAGACAGATCGCGAGCTACTCGAGATCGACTCGATCAAGACTCGATAAATACTCGGATCGAATGGAATCGACTCGAGCTCGAGCTCGGCTCGAGTTCTTAACGAGCCGAAACGAGCTACTTGATATTCGACTCGAAAAGCTCGTGAGCAGCTCGAAAATATAAAATATTAAGATTTTATTTTTTTAAAAATAAATTATTAATAATATTAATATTTATGTATTGATTTTTTTTTTTAAAAATACAGTAATATTTTCATGTATTTAAGGTTCAGGTTCGAGTTTGAGGCTTAAATCGAGTTCGAGTTTGAGGCTTAAATCGAGTTAAGTTTAAGAATTTTTTTTCATTTCGAGCCTTTTCGAGCTGCTCACGAACTTCAGTTTAGGATTTCGAGTTCGAGTCGAGCTTGAAAATTTTAAGCTCGCGAGTTTTCGAGTCGAGTCGAGCTTCATTTCAGAGTTTTCGAGTCGAGTCGAGTTCAGCAATACTCGAGCTCGACTCGCTCGTTTACACCCCTAGTCCAAGTGCAATTGCAAACCAAATTGGATCTTCACGGTACAATCCTAAGGCAATTTCAATCTTTGTATCTGTACCCTTTCTCGATTCTCATGCACTAATGGTCACTTCAATGATCGCAAACAGCCCGGCACAAATGTGAAGTAAATGGAGGGGATAACAACTAGGCAGATATTAATTATACTTTATAGACTACACAATAGATACCGACTAAAATTGTATACTAAATACAATGTCACATTTATCCATATACATATACATATAATATGTAGGTAGCTAAGGTGCATTTTTCAGTTAAAAACTGTGTACATTTTGAAATTACAGTTTCAAATTTGAGACATTAGTGGTGGACTGAGATGCTTCCCTCTTGTTGTTGGTGTGGAACCTCCATGTGAAGAGGTAATCATTTGATTGACATGATAATCTGATGACATCGCATAATGCTTTGATGGACTTCTTTTTTCCTTCACTTCCCCACTCGATCCTCGTCCAGCACGAAAACCCGTTTGATTCAAGTGGCACCCTCGAATCAGATAAACGAAGCATCACTTCCCCACATATTCTCTTGCCTCCTCCTCTCACCATTGAATTGAGCCATGGGCATTCTGGTTGACCGATCATTTCATTGTATGCAGAATTCGCCAGTCTGACTTTGTTGTTCGAGTCAGACACCACTGCTGGCAGTGCCTCGGACTCCACCTCTTCTTCGGCCTCCTCTGGTTTCTTCAGGACTTGCATTGGCGAGGTCAGGTTCGGGTTCTCAGTGATGCATCCGACGCTGATGGTGGAGCCAACGAGTCGAATCGGCTGAGGTGCGATAACGCTGCTTGAGAAAGGATCACCTTGGAGCTGCTTCAACAGATCTTTCTCTTCTGGAATTTCAGCCACTGAATTCAAATCAATTACCTGATCATCCCCCGCTCTAGATTCCATGCAACTAAGGTTGGAAACAATGGGAGGACATGGAAGAAGGGGAAGTGTCACCAAACTTGCTGGTGGTGTGGAAGAAATCTCCAAGCCGCCACCATCTACCACAAAGTTATTAACATCAGAAAGCTGAGTTCCATGAGAAAAGCCACGCAAAAAAAGGTTTTTAGCAGGGGATGATGTTGATGTTAGAGGTGAAGGAAGCCCTGTGACATGGGTTTTTGCTCTCTTGAATGTTGGCGGTGATAAAGCAGCTCTACCTCTCTTTCTAGTCCTACTAGGCCTATCCTGAAGCCGAGGCCATAAATTCCTCAGATAAGGAGACTGCCTGATCACCTGCGACATAGCCGAGCTCTCATCTACGGCGTTTGCAGGCACCTCGGGCTTCGGCGCTATAGGCCTGTACCTCGACATGATTTCAGCCGTTTTGGCTGTGTTGGAGTAAGGATTCAACGTCTTGATCATGTTTAACAATTGAACCAATTGTGAAAAGATATTTAACAATTCAGAAGAAGAAGAAGAAGAAGGGAATTAGAGTTTGAGAATTGAAGAGATGATAGGCTCTTGAAGTGGGATGGTTAGTTTTAAAGAGAAGAAACCAGCCAATAAGCACTAGGCAACATGAAACAAGGCATGGAATGATGGGGTACGTGTTTGAGGAGGTTGAAAGATAAAAGACATGTGGGATTTGGCGTAGCCATGCATGCTAACACATCACAATACTGCAACCCACAAGAAACAAACAAAAGCAAATAAGGTACATTGAATTGGATCCCAGTCCCCACACTCAAAACGTTGAACCGCTCATAGGCCAATCAGAAACGCCCTCGGAGATTACAAACGCCTGCGGCGTTGGAGGCCATGCGTGGCTACACCTATCAGGATCGGTTTGGCCCTTCCGTATTACGACACTGCCCGCTTTTAGCCTTTGGATTTTCATTCGGTTGATTTTGGCGGTCGTCCACGTGTTAGCTGGTAGTCTCCTGTTGCATGCAAGGGATGAGTTACAATCTGGTTGGTGGGGACGAAGGCCTTCGGAGCCTAAAGCCAAATGGCAATGAGCCGTAGTTAGTGATTTAATATATATATATATGTGTGTATTTCATATTTGATCAACCAAAAAGATGAAGGATTCAAATTATGTTGCTAGCCTTCCATAAAATCATGTGTGTGTGTTTTTTTTTCAACTTATGTTATTACCAAATAAATGATTTATCAATAAATAATGTATCAAAATGAAACGTAAATAGAACTGAAAAAAATTAAACTTGAAAGTATGTTTGAGCTGATTTGAGAGTCGGGACGAATGCAAAATTAATTAGAAATGAATTTATAAAATTTTAAGGATAAACGTATATTATTGATAAATATATATATATATATATATAAAATCTAAAATATATGATAACTTAAAAATTTTAAAGGGTTAAAGGTTTCTAACCGTTCCTTCAATCAATCACTCTTTGAAATTAAATTTAATCTCATCTAAACTGATTTTAAAATTCAAAACTCCAAGTTTGAAAAAAATGTGAACTAGAAAAACCCTAAATCTAAAAAATAAATTAAAACAAAAACCGAGCTCAAATTTGATACAATCTAAAATAAAAGTGAGTTTATAGTATGACACTAGAAAAGAGCATAAATATAACATACAATAATATTTAAAATGCTATATACTTATATTTAAAAATGACTTTATAGAATGGCCTAATCTATGAAAATATATTTATAAAAACGATATATTTATAGTAATAGTTTATAAGAAATAAAAGTAGAGGTTGCAAACGGGTTTTTTAGATTGGGTTTGGGTCGAATTATTTCAAGTCTAGAAATACATTCGGTTTAGGTTTTATTCGAGTTAGATTGGATCTGGTTCGGATTTATACTCCTAACTAAGCCGACAATACATGAAAAAAGATCCAAAAATAAATACACCAAAAAAACACATCACCCAACTAAGCCAACCACTCCCCTGTGAATTATACTCCTAGGACCGAAAGCCACCACCAAGAAGCAAACCAATGCCTATATAAAACTACACCTCACTCCTCTGCAATATAGTGTACAAAACTAACAATAACCTATCGACAACAGCAATTAAATGAAAATAAGACAGAAGCCAAGAGAAACCAAGAGCAATTCACCAAACAAGTTGTTACCACTAGGCTTGAATTTGCACTGCCTATTAAGGCACATTCGATCGCATGTAAGGAGCTTAATTCAATCATTCAACTAGACTCGAGAAAGAAAATATCGCACTAACAGCCTAAAATCATGGTCATCAAAGACCTCTGTAGAACACGAGTATCACCAACATAAGATCATGGTCTTTCGAAGACTTTCGCACATGCCAACCAATTTTGAACATTGAAGAACCACACTTAACACAAGCCGCAATGCTAAAATATAATATCAAACCACAAGCATCGCCCTATGCAATCAAATGACCCCAGTCAATCGAATGACCCCGATATACTAGCATGAGACAGTAGAAAGAAGAGGCTAGCATCAACCTTCTTTGAACTCCTTGAAATATCGCAACAGTCTAACAAATAAAACTTTTAGAGAAAGTTGATAAACAACAACAGTACTCTAAGGAGATCCTAACATGCACGGAAGGGACACGCCTACTAAGACTAGCAAGACCATCAATCCTCATCTATCATAGACTCATCAATCCGACGTACACCGTAGAATTTTTCCGTAAATGAGTGTTTGCTCCATTCCAAACCCTAAGAAGGTTTTGGTTATTGGTGGTGGTGATGGTGGAGTTCTCCGGAAAGTTTCTCGTCATTCTTCTGTTGAACAAATTGACATCTGTGAAGTTGACAAAATGGTCGTCGATGTTTCTAAACAATTTTTCCCTGAAGTGGCTGTTGGATATGATGATCCCCGTGTGAAACTTCATATTGGTGATGGCGTTGCATTTTTTAAGGCTGTTTCAGCAGGTACTTATGATGGTCCTGCTCAAGAGCTCTTTGAGAAGCCTTTTTTTGAGGCTGTGGCAAAGGCTCTTCGTCCAGGTGGAGTTGTCTGTACTCAGGCAGAAAGTATCTGGCTACATATGCACATAATTGAAGATATCGTAGCAAACTGTCGCCAAATCTTCAAAGGCTCTGTTAACTATGCATGGATTACTGTTCCTACATACCCAAGCGGGGTGATTGGTTTCATGCTTTGCTCGACTGAGGGACCTCCTTTTGACTTCAAGCATCCGGTGAATCCTATAGACAGATGATATCTGCGACAAATCAAAACGACCTCTAAAGTTTTATAACTCCGAGATTCATTCGGCTGCATTCTGTTTACCATCCTTTTCCAAGAAGGTGATTGAATCAAAACAACAGGGGTGAAAATTTTTAAGTTTTTCAACAAAATTCTAGTAATTGTGGAGGAGGATTAGTTACCATCCTTTGTTTGATGACCTAATGTAGCGATGGACGTTGGATTTGTAAGACTACAAGGAATTTATGGTTATTTAGATGAGACATAAATGTATGTTTCTTGGGATCATTTATCAGAATCACAACTGTTTTGTTAGCAATAAATTACATGGATGTTTGAGATCAGAAAAAAAAATCAAGTTGGGGCCAAATTGTAAAAAACAAAAGTATAAAGATTAAAATTGTAATTTTACGGAAAAATAGGATTAAGAGTGAACCATGGACACACAAATGAATAATAATTGTTACAAATAAAATAATAATTTACCTGTCAGAAACTCAAACTCTCCATTTTTACCCGATTAAGAACTTTTTGTCTAAGAATTATTCTTGAGATTCTTTTATTTTATTCTCATATGTAATGTACATGTCACCATTTAATTGGTTGAATAAATTTAATTAAAAATACTGACAAAAAAAAAAAAGAAATGTGATATGAAAATTAAAAAGATAAAAAAATTAACATGACATGTCACATCAATGTTGTTTTTAAGTTGAAATATCAAATTAAAATTTAAACTAAACATTAATATGATTTTGAAAAAAATAAAATTTAAATAAAAAACAAAAAAAAAAAGTGATAATTTAGATATTGAACGTATATCTTCGGCCCGTCTAGACATTACTGCTGCGGAATTCCAACGAGAACATCCACCATCTTGCTAAAACTCTGCTTCACAATTGGTCTAATACTATTTGAATTGAATGCTTTCAATTCTTAAGATTTTGGTTGAACATTCTGATCATTTAAAGTGCTCTCAGCATTTGAAGAATTTGATTGACCGTTCTCAATATCTGAAGATCTGGGTTGAATGCTTCCGACATTGCTCGAGATTTCAAAGTATCTCTCACCAATTTCCTGAAGGTTACAAAGGGAAAAGAAAAAACCGGAAACAAAGGGGATGGAGAAGGCAAAGGAGCAAGCCATAATGCGGGGATCGTACATATGAAGTATATGATCTTGAAACGAAAGAATCACCACCTTATGCACAACATAGTAAAGCAGCCATCCCGACAACGGCACCAACATCCAACATACGATGCATGCCGGAGCAGTTAACCAAATCGACAGTCTAATTTCTCGTGTCCCAGAAAAACCAGGATCCGCACTGTTATTTAACTTGTTAAAAAGCGTGTAATTAAAAGCATACCCAAGTGAGCGCAAGCCCGCTAGAAGGATCGCCAAAACATCAACCACGACGAATAGGATATAAATCACTATTTCGGAAATCAACAGCAAAATTCGGAACCTCTTGTGATAATCTCGCAGATCTGATTCGAAATTTAATAAAAAAAGATACGAAAATGCACCAAAACCTCCGCTTGCTATAAGGAATGTAATAATCCAACCCCGATCATAAGTTTTCTCAAACACCTTTTTTATTTCAGTGGACCTGGAAAAAAGAGTGTAAATACAATATCAAACGCTTCAAATATTTTATATAAAAACAATTATGTATAAAGTAAAGTAAATCAAAACAAGGAAACCATACCTTCTAGTGATGGAAACAAACCAAGTCATGATCGGTAAAGAGGAGAAGACTTCTTTGTTTTGAAATAAAGAAAGAAGGCAAACATAAGAACAAAGAAGAAACAGATACGAAGATAATGAGAAGAATATGTATTTATAAAGATAAAAAGTCGATATTATATAAAACTCTACTCCTAATTAACATTCACAAATATTTATAACACTACTTGAACATCCAATAAAAAAACTGTTTAAGTTTTTTTAATTCATTATTTATAATTCAAATTATAGAATTTGACTGTGACTAGTTTGTTTAAGTTTATTTGGAATTGTCTTTCACTAGTTAAATTTGTGTAATTCTTGATAGTTGATATCTTTGTATTTTTCATGCTGCGCCTGTTAGTTTAGCTCCTAATGTGTCACTAGTTAGAAAACTAGAACTATGGAGAAGGCCCATATGAACCTCTGATGTGGACTTGGTTTACATTGCAAATAGCAATTGTAAAGAATTCATGTACAGTGGCACTCGAGAAAATGAAGCATTGGATGATGCCAGAGAAGGTAAATTTCATGGATATTGTTGACTGGGTGGAAACTTTCATTAAGGTTTCTTCTTGACATTTAGAAGATTTGAACATGATCAACATGCCCTTTTTTGCAGGCCAAAACTTCATTGATCACATTTCCCTCTTCTGCTGAAATTGTATCTGAACCATTGGGTGTTGTGTTAGTAATCTCAGCTAGGAATTATCCTTTTAGTACGTTAAACGACCTGATAGACTTGTTCACAAATATGTTTCTTCAGTCCTTTTGTTTTTCTAATTTCTAGTTCTTAAATTTATATGAATGATGACTATAATTGTATATGTTCTTTCAGTGTTGTGTCTTGATCTAGTTGTTGGAGCAATTGCAGCTTGTAATGCTGTGCTTTTTTATTGAAACTTCAATGTCAACATTGTTGGGATGGTTCAGGTCTTGAATGACAACAGGTATGGGGCAGTCTTTGTTGTAGATCTTCGTAATTTAAGTGCACTGATTTTGGTTGGATGGTTGGGTCGGTTCGGATTAAGCTTGGTTTGGTTTTAACACTCTATATGTTTGTTCTATGATTCAGGTTTTAAGAGTTTGTGTATGTGTTTTATCTATAAGCTGATAGCTTGGATATATCCAGTCGTCTACATTATTTTTATTTAATATTCTGTATTTTACTATAAAAAATATTATGCATTTTCTTTTATTAAGTTTTAGAAAGTTTCTTCTTTCTTTGTTTTATTAAATTTCAAATATTATTATTATACTTTGAAAATTTAAACATTAAACTTAAAATTATATCAATCCTTTTCTCTTCTCACTTAAAAACTTCTTTTATCGTTCAAATTTTAAAAGAAAAATAAAAGAAATTGCTGGCAAAAGATGACGACTTTCATTTAAGACATCTCCGGTAAACAACAACTCTCTCATACTATTTAAACATTTTTATATTTCTAAGTATTTTTCAAACATCCATAAAAAGTTAATTATTATTTTTAATTATTATTTTACAATAATATTTGAATTTTTTTATTAATTAAAATAAAAGATACTATGAATAAAGTGTGTTTTTCAGATTATTTTTTTAAAAATGATAAATTATATTTTGAAATCCAATTTTGTAATTTAAGAATCTTAATATTAAATATTAAATATTTATATTTTATATTTTATAGGTATTTTGTTCTCAGGATCTTATATCTCTTCTTATTCAACGGCGAATACAGAAAAATTTTATTAGGTGGGCCAATATATATAATAAAAATTGATATAACACTAAAATTAGCCCTCCCAACATTTACCAAAATGATTATCTTCACTTCTATTCTCTTTTTTTAGCATTTTGACCCTCAACGTTTCATTTTGGGGCAAAAATGCCCCTCCGTAGATGGAAAACTTTAGTTAACAAATGATTAACGCTATAAAATAAGAGTCTTTTTTTACTCTAAAATGAAACATTGGGGGCTTAAATGCTCTAGAAAAAAATAATAGTCAAATTAACTATTCAGTCAAACGTTAGAGACGTTTTTATCTTAAAATGAAACGATGGGAGTCCAAATGCTCCAAAAAATAAAATTAGGGCTAAAATGACTATTTTAATAAATATTGGGAGTTAATTTTCCCATTATGTCTAAATTTTTTTATCTAACATAATTTTTATTTATTTTTTAATTTAAAAATATAATACTATAAATATTTAAAATCAATCTAAAAATATATCAACCAGACTAATATAATTTTTTAACATAGTTTATATATAATTTTATTTAAATTATATACTAGTGTTTTTTATATTTTGGGACATGGGGTGGGCCATGGCCTAGGTAGGCCCACCCCTAGATACGTCCTTTGCTTCACCATTATAAATCGAGCCTGATAAGAGTCTTAAAATCTCATTTTTTGTAAATATGAATTGTTTTACATTTTTCTAACCTTTGTCGACGTTGCACCGCCCTTGCCCATGGGTTTGCTCCACTGCTTGGAAACCTTTTGGAAACTAGGTCTATTCGACCTGTATCCGAACCTACCCATAACGCGCCTGTATCTTCACCCAAACCAGAGCCGCTCAAACCAGGCTGCATGTTTGGGCCTGTACTTTAGGCCCAATTATTATCTAGGCTAATTTTATTAAAACCCATTAACCCAAGCCAAACCTTGATCGGATTAAACCGGTCTAGTCCAAACTGGTCTAGTTTAAATCGATTCGAGTCGAGTCAATCCAAGCTAAACTAAGTTTAGTATTTTAATCTAATTAATAGGTTCTGAATATCGAATTTATTTAGAAATATTTTTTTAAATGTACTCATATTTTATCTGATTGACTGTTGATTATATCCGATGCTTCTCGTCCAGTAGATCTGCATGATTTCTAGTTATGGTTTAATGACAACCATGTTGGCAAGCTATTGAAAATCAAATTCTCATCTCTAGTTCATATCGAACTAAGAACTCGGAAGGTACAAGGTATTATGTTTGAAAGTTCAGGGGCTTGGGCTTGAAGAACAACAAAGGAATTCGTCAAAAAAAGAAAATTGATTTTGATGGGAGGATCGAACCAACCTCTTCTGCTTGGGATACAGTGTGCATTTGACACAAACATCAGACCGAAAATCACGTATATACTATTTAGTGATACGGAGGAAGTTACGGCTTCCGCACCCTTGGTTGTTCCATCCAAAGATCTCCATAGACAAAAAGAAGAGTGCAAGAGAGGAGCCAGAAGACTCGGAAATCATTCTACCATGGCCGAACAGCCATGAGACATCAACTCATTAACTAATTCAGTCGTTTCCACAGGAGGTGGAACAATAGCAGACGGGGAGACCCCCAAACAGTTGGAGCAGTAGCCAAAGAAGTATTATTATTGTTGATTGGTAGTTTATCCACTAAAGATTTACGTGAAAGAACAATAGGGACAGAGGAAGGAGACAACTCTATCGCGGAATGCTTGGCCGGATTAAGATTTGATAATTGATTCCGTACTTTAGTAGCATAGCTAGATGAAGCAGCCTTTTTAGGCGTTGTGATGGTGTTTCTCAGACCAAGAACAATAAGAGCAGATTTGTGAACCAAATGAGATGATTTGCCTTTTGCCTTAGAATTAACAGAAGTTGTTGCGGGGATATTCACATTTTTAAAAATATTAAAAATCTAATGAAAACTAAAAATATATCACAAACTATAAAATAATAAATTATTAAAAATATTAAAAGTATTTAAAAAAACATATATTATACGTAACATATATATGACATATAATCATAGCATCAACACTTAAACGAAATATTATTATGAGATTAGTCGAGACTTGCGAATTTTATATTTAAATAATTATAAAAAAATAAAATTTTTCGTATGGTTGTATGATTAGATATGTGTGTTTATTCTATTCTTGATGCAAAATTATGGGGAGTCTATCAAAGACTTACGTTGGCTTGGGATTGAGAGTACAAGGAAGTCGTCGTTGAAATTGATGGTAAAGACATCTTCAACCTCCTTGTTTAGGGGTGCGGATATGGAAATATTTTTGAAAGGAAATTGATCTCGTTAAAACCTCTCTCATAACTCGATCAAGTCAGGGCTCGATCAAAACAACAGAAGAAGAAAAGAGTATCCATAGATTTATAAATTATCATCAGTACAATCGAGAACAACTAAAATCTTCTGATTATAAATAAGTATTTGAGTTAGAGAGTCTGTCTTCATATTCCACTTTACTTCGTAAGATTAACTCTTTCATTTATAGAAGATTTCTAAATCTTCTGATGCATAGTAAAAATAAAAGGAATTAATGAGTAAATTGAGAGTTCAATATAAAAACTTACAAAATATATTTTGAAGTGAATTCGAGTTGAATACCTAAAAAATAACTTAAACATGAAATTGGAACTACAAAATCAATGTGCGAGGATCCCTTAAAAAATTAAGAAATTAGAAAAACTTGACACATCCTAAGAATTAGTGGTGGAATTTGGTGATAGAGTTTGGGGATAACTTTTTTTTTTTTTTAAAATAGAGGTTTAAATTAAAGTTTTTAAAATTTTTGAAGGGTCCAGTTTACATTTTTTTCAAAAAGATTGGAGTCTAACTAAAGTTTTTAATATTTTGAGAGGCTTAATGAGAATTTCAAAAAATCATGAGAGGAGTTTAATTAAGAATAATAAAAAAAATAAAGATTAATATGAATTTCTAAAATTTTGTTGGGGCTAAATTAAATATTTTAAAAATTTTAATGGTTTAAATTATAATTTTTCAAATTTTAGAGGGGAGCATGGCCCTACTAGCCTCCATTGTGTTCCGTCATGGCTAAAAACACTCACCATGACTCGAAATCCCCTAGGTAGATATGGTTCTTACTTGCCACTTGAGGTTGGAAATCAGCTTCAAATTTTGCCTCACCAACTGTAACAGATTCTTGCAGTTTTGAGGTACTAGTCCATGAATTATAGAGGCTTTTCTGTAATAGGAACATGATGACAAAAGACCTCATCCTCATTTTTACAAACTTCAATGAAAGATAATTGAAAACATAAATTGCAAGTAACCTGAGAAACAAGAGATTGTTAAAAAAGATTCGAGGTGGCTGTCCATGCATCATTGATGACTTTTCTGTTATAAGAACATGATGACAAAGGATTTTTCATCATGTTTTAACATGATCAAACGTTGTTTTAAGCCACAAAACAACTATGCTGCTTGCTACAGATTTCTATACCACAAAAGTAATTATAACCAAAATGCCAGAGTGCCAAGCTCTCTAGCAGAAGTGGCCTGAATAATTTCAGTTCTACCAAGAAGACTCTGTCCGTGTTTTTTTTTCATATAGCATAATTCAACTCAATTTTGTTTGCCAGGGTTGTTCTTGAGTCTTTGAATTAAAATATGAAGTTCCAGGCAGTAAGAGCAAGACAAATGTCAGGCAGCTTACTCATAATTTAACATCACATGAAACAATGATATATTAAAGATGATTCCATGCTACATTTACTGCTGCCAAATTACAGAGTGAATTCCTATGAATGTTGTGATAATAAAGCATGCAAACTTGAAGCATAAAATAAGAGAGAAATTCAAATTAAATTCTTAAGAGTCATACACCTCTGTATCAGACCTTTTGGAAGACAGTCGCATAAAACGCCACTACAATCAATTATCGTGTAGCCTCGACAAATGAGCTCAAAATCGATGGCCTATTTTACCAATTACTACAGATAAAAATAAGAACGCCCACCGTGGGGCTCGAACCCACGACCACAAGGTTAAGAGCCTTGCGCTCTACCGACTGAGCTAGACGGGCTTGGATGAAAACTTATCATGCATTCCTTATTTAACGAATAATGATCGACGATTAAATGGTTTACTCTTTATGTTATGGACGAAAGGTCATTGCTCGACCATAATCCATTCTAAAGTCTTTTTTTCATAATGGCCTTCTTGTTATATATTTCAAATATTAGGGAGTCGTGTGGCTAAATACATGATGGAGACGTGTTACACTTAATGAGCTGAGGTCAAATTGTCCCATGTTTTACATCACAGTGTGTATGCTTCAAGCGAATCTTTTTCGAATTAACGGAGAGTATAGCACTTGTTCCTTTTTAAATACATGATGGAGACGTGTTACACTTAATGAGCTGAGGTCAAATTGTCCCATGTTTTACATCACAGTGTGTATGCTTCAAGCGAATCTTTTTCGAATTAACGGAGAGTATAGCACTTGTTCCCTTTTAAGTACGAGGAACATTGTAAAGTGATGTGATTCAAAATTCACTGTTTTTTCGTGCAATAATCTTTTACCTCTGTGGAAAATAGTTACTCCTTTATGATTCATCTATTTTTTTCCCCAATGAAAAGGGCCAAAGGCCATCACAAAGGACTAATGTATAAGATATATGGCCATTACAAAGACCATCGGTGTTGAGGGTAACCCATCTAGATGGAGCCGGTAGCCATTGAATTTCTTCCTATAGATGGGGGAATGAAGAACCATTACCAAGAGGCGAAACAAAGCTATAATAAGCAGCCTAATACTTGCTTAGATGAAGGAGAGAATCATTCGATAAAGCTTGGCTTGTGAAGATGGTAGAATTTCGACGTTTCCAAACTTGCCAAATAATAGAGAGAAAAATGCACTTTCATGGAATTTCAGTACCTGCAGAAAAAGCTTGGCTTGTGTGTTGGTTTTTATTCACATGACATCCACAAGATTTTTTTAATCTTCTTCCTCTAAACATAAATTTTTTTTAGTTTCATCTTTGTAATGACGATTTCCAACATATTATCTTACCACTCAAGATGTTTTTTTTTTGATAAATTGAATTTTATTATCCAAAGAAGCATTACATGCTACAAAAAATAAATCCCAATAAGGGAATATACCAGTTATGTACAACCACAGATTAGTCTATACTCCAGTTGCTACAGAGAATAAAATTAACATCATCAAGTCTATTGATATTTCTACCTACAAGATGAATTTGAACTAACTCCTTGATGATCTTCAATAGTTGATCCACATCTCTAGTTTTGTTTTGAAAGATTCTTCTATTTCTTTCTTCCCAAATCAGGTAGATAAATATGCTCCATGAAAGCTTCAAAACAGTGGAGATGAGAGATTTACCTTTCCATTCTCTACAAGACCATTCAAGTCTTTCCTCCCATGACGTGTGGGGTTTGTGCAAATGAGTGAGCTGCAATATAGAGTTCCACAGGTTTTTAGCAAAGTTACAGTCAGCAAACAAGTGATTCCTAGTTTCAATTTCCTCCTTGCAGAGGACAAATAATCCATCAGTTGATATTCCCATCCGAGAGAGTCTAGCTCGAGTTGGAAGCCTATCAAGTATAGCCATACAAGTAATCACACTTGCTTTGGGGATATGGAGGGGAAACCAAACCACATTGTGCCATGGCACCTTATTATGCTTTTCTCTGATTTCATCCCATATTTTCTTTGTCTTCGAAACACCTGCATTGAGAATGGGGAGAGCCTCATTCCTTAGCTTTATCAGTTTGTTTATACCCCAGCTGTTAGTAGGACTTTCACTCAATTCATTAAAATCTTTGTTCTTGATCACATAAAGTTTAATCCAAGCAACCCAAAGTGAACCTTCTACAACAAGAATGTTTCGTATGAGTTGAATCATACATGCCTTGTTCCAAGTTTTGATATTTTTAAAACCGAGGCCACCTTTAGATTTGGGGTTACATATATAATTCCAACTGATTCGAGCTCCAACAGCAGCTTGGTCAGAACCCTTCCACAGAAACCTTGCACAGAGTTGGTCAATTCTTTTAATAACAGATTGGGGCAGCATGAATTGTCTGCACTAGTAGTTGGAGACATTAAAAAGAACAGATTTTATTAATTTAAATCTGCCAGCATAGCTGAGCAGTTTTCCAGACCAGAGATGCAATTTAGATTTGATACTGTCAATAAGGGGCTGACAATCTTGAATTTTCAGTTTCCGAGTGACTAATGGAACCCCTAGATACCTTACAGGCAAGAAACCTTGTTTAAACCCCGAGATACATTTCATAGCCTCAAGACTTCTATGGGAAATACCAGCAGCAAACAGTTCTGTCTTATTAACATTGAGCTTAAGACCAGACATGCAATAGAAATGCTGAAGAACAGTAAGAATACCAATAACAGAGTCAATGTTCCCTTTACAAAAAATTAAAAGGTCATCTGCAAATGATAAATGTGTTAGTCCAATTTTTTTTGCATTTTGGATGATAACCAAAGATTCCTCTGGCAGCAGCAATGTTAAGGATCTTTGAGAGGATATTCATGGCAAGAACAAATAAAATAGGAGAAAGAGGGTCTCCTTGCCTTACCCCCCTTTGGCCTTTGAAGTATCCTATCAAGCTACCATTTAAGGAAATAGAATATCTAGCTTCCTTGTAGCAAGCTTCAATCCAGTTGATGAAAATGTTTGGCAGACCAATAGCAATTAGAGTAGCTGAAATAAAGTCCCAGTGAAGACAATCAAATGCTTTTTGAAGATCAACTTTAAGAGCACACCTTGGAGAAATGATCTTCCTTCCATAGCCCTTTACAAGTTCTTGGGCTAGGAGAGTATTATCAATTATAGTTCTTCCTCTTACAAAAGAAGTCTGGTTAAGGGAAATAATGTCTGGCAGCAGCTTAGTCATCCTTTTTACAAGGATTTTAGTGATAATTTTGTACACAACAGAGCAGCAAGAAATTGGTCTGAAATCCTTGACTTTGCTAGGATTTTGGATCTTTGGGATCAAGGCAATAATTGTTGAATTGAAGGCAGGCAGAAGAAAGGTTTCCTTGAAGAAAAATTTGATAGCATTGATAACATCTTCACCATTAATGTTCCATGTTTTCTTGAAAAAGAAAGGAGTGAACCCATCCGGACCAGGAGATTTGTCATTTCCTTGATTGAAGATTGCTTCTTTAATCTCTTCTGAAGTGACAATTTTAGTAAGATCTGTGGCCGTTTCAGAGGGCAGATTAACTTGAAGCAGATTTTTCAAGAAGAGGGGATCAGTTTTTTGAACACAATGATCAACAGTACCAAGCTGACCTTTGAAGAAATCCAAAATTTCATAGGCTAAATCATCAAAAGATTCCAGTTTTTGGCCTTGTTCATTAATAAGAACTCTGATAGTCTCTCTTTTATGTTTGTTAGCAATAGCAGAATGGAAGAACTTGGTGCACCTATCACCCTCTTTTATCCAATTGACTTTAGCTTTCTGTTTTAGAAACAAATGTTCAGCTTCTTCAAGAGTAATCAACTCCTTTTGAACATTCAGTTCACTTTCAATAGGACTGATGCCCTTAAGAGTAGATAATTGTGTATTCTCAAGCTCAGCTTTCTTAAGTTTAACTCTAACAGAGATATTGCTGTAAAAATCCTTGTTTAAGGACTGCAAACAAGGTTTCAACCGTTTGAGTTTTTGAAAGAGCCTCTGCATAGGGTTACCTTTTGAAGGTTGCTGCTAGGAATTTTGAACTTCAGAAAGGAAATTTTGATGATTTGCCCAGAAGTTAAAAAATTTAAAAGGTTTAGGGTGGTTGACTTGGGTCTCTTTACTTAACCAGACAAGTGCCATACAATGATCAGAAGGACCAGGAGCAGTGAATTCAACAAAAGACTTTTGGAAAGAATAAGACCATAGAGGATTAATAAGCACTCTGTCAAGTTTTCTTGCAAGATAATTTTCTTTTTGCTTGTTACTCCAAGTAAAAGTAGGGCCAAAATAAGGATGATCACAGAGCTGAAGATCAAAAATAACATCATGAAAATCTTTCATATCAGAAGAATAGAAAGGCCCTAGAAGATCAAAATCAGAACTTTCCTTAGGGTCGAGATAAGTGTTAAAGTCTCCTCCTAGAATCCAAGGGAAAGTGCCAAAAGAGAGATCAAGATCTCTTAGAGTTTGCCAAAGAAGTCTCCTAGAAAGGCCATTATTGGTCCCATATATTGTTGTGATGATAAAAGACTCATTATTGAAAATGCACTTAACAGTGATGCTTTGAGAAGTAGAGTGGCAGAATGAGATGTCAATATTTTTCTTTCATAAAACCCAGATTCTTCCATTAGTAGCAGAGTTATAGTTGGTAATCACATTCCAATCCCCAAAATTAGAATGAAGGATATTAGAAGCTTTTTCAGTCTTAACCCGAGTCTCCAACAAACAAAGAATGTCAATATTGTAGAGTTTGGCCCTGTTAAGAACTTTAGACTGTTTTTGAGGATTATTCAACCCTCTTATGTTCCAAAAGCAAATGATCATTGAGAATGAGTGATGGGGTCATCCCCTTGTTCACTATCTACAGAACTTTGTGCTTTAACAATGTGCTCTTTCTTTTTTAATTTAAGCTCCTTAAGTAGATTTGCAACCCCTGAGGCAGCAGGCCTAGGTTTTCTACCTTGGACTTCAACAGAAGGAGAGTTTTCATCGACAGTGTTTAGAATTTTGAAACGGTTAGCAGATCCTTTTAGTGCAACCTTAGTTTTAGCTTTGAGAGGCCTACCTCTACCTCTTTTAAGGTTAGGATCTGCTACAATATCCTTAGCTGAGATTTGAACAGTTGAAAGTTCCCCTTTAACAGATTCTACAGATTTAGTAGAAAGACGAGGCAAAGCAGAAGATTCTCCACCAGATTGGATACTTTGTTCATTTTTAGAAGTGGAAGTTGTTTGAACTGGAGAAGGAATCTTAACAGGAAGCTCAGAATCTAAATCCTTAAGATCAAACTTGTTATTTGGGGAATTATTGAAATTCTGTGAAAGGTCAGACTTTTCCAATGGAAGGAAAGAGGCTGAATTAGGTTCCTGTAAGATTTCTATTCCTTCCGAGGAGTTAGATTCTTTATTATTTGGCAAGACAGATTTCTTCTTCCAAACTTTAGTAAAGGAATGAGCTGAAGAAGTTTTATTAGAGCAGTTTTTATCAGTGTGACCAAAGGATTCACACCTTCTACAGTAGCTAGGATACCAGGGAATTTCAACATAAATGGTAGTGGTCTGACCATTAGCCATGACCACTTCTACTGTTTTTGGGATTTCCTCCTTAGCACCTATCTCAATGCAAACTTTAGCAAATTCTAGCCTAGTCTTTGTAGCAGTTACAGAGTCCATGGAAATAGGGTTACCTAGAGCACTAGCAATGTAGCTAAGTCCTTCCCTAGTAAACAATTCCAGAGGAACATTGTACAGGTGAATCCATAAAGGCAGGCGAGACAGATCAAAGTTAAGCCTTTGAAGATTAGGCTCCCATTTTCTGAGAATTAATGGCCTATTAAGAATATGCCATGGTCCGTTTTCAAGGACCCAATCCCTAGCAGAATCAGAGCTGAAAGAAAAAATATATAGATTATTTCCAGCAAGATTGACCTGAACGGAAGCACCCTTCGAAGCCTGATTCCAGAGATTATCAATAACTTTTTTCAGAGAAAGGAAATTTGGTGCTGACCCGAGGAACTGCCCAACAAGAGCGGACTTCCATTCTGCTGTTCCTGCCTCAAAAACCTCAGGAGGAGGTTGAACAATTAGAACCCTATCATTCGATTTTGGGGGAAAATAAGAAAGCTCCTGATTAGCTTGACTCCCAAATAATTTACGCCAATCCATTGATATAATCGAGTGAAGAGATTAGAGAAGACCAGTAGATTTGTAATCGAAAAAAGAACAAACAAGAATTCCGGCGAAGCGACGAGAGACTCAGGTTCCATTAGCCCTGCTAACGTGCGCCCAGAGAATTCCGTAAACGTGCGCCATCTATAATTCTAACCCAAGAGCTTTTGCATCCACCCACTCAAGATGTTGATGAACTCGTTTTAAAACAATTTAACTCAAACCCTAAAATTCATAAAACACTAAACAACTATATACAACTCATTTTCTCTTTCTCTACCTTTCCATGTAAGGATTTGGAAGAAAATGTTGTATCATTGAAAAATCAAAGATAGTATGAAACTCGACTTTGATGGTATACATACCTTTTAAATCATTGGTAGTTTTGAAACTACTGCAATTGAGCACTTATCTCTCTCATAATTTTGTGGTATAATTATTTTTTTAAGACACTATCAGTTTTTTAGTTGATGAAATTAAACTTTGACTATAATTTATCTGATTTAATTGCTTTTTAAGACCTTTGAATTTTAAAGTTTGTGATATTAAACCCTTAATCTCTTATTTTTTATGATTTAATTATTATTAGACCCTATTTGTTTCAAAATTAAACCGTTTATCCCCTCATTATTTAATTCAAATCCCGTCATTATCAAAATCAATTTTATCATCCAAATAGACCCTTTGTATCCAATTAATGACGCTCTGGTACAAAAAGAAGAAGGGTAATCGTGGTGGAATTGATTTGAAACTGAAACCGACGGTGACAAGAGCCATGACAGCACAAACTTTTTCTCCCCTTCACATCACAACAAAGAGTAAAACCACTTCCGTTTTGATCGTTTGAAATTTGAATGATTTGGTGTAACGTCGAGTGATTAGTTACACGAACCCATCTTAATTAAATCCATTTTGATTTTGATTTTTCACCACAAAATGAAAACGACTCCTCCTAATTTAAAACCCTAAGGCCGGATAATCATCATATTATATGATCAATCATTCACACCCACCTTAATTTTTAATTCAAACAAGCCATCAAAGTGTTGGATTTTGTATCTCAAGCTCAAAAATGGGTATGGGTGGGTAATAACAAAAACATGGAAGCATGACGAGCAGAACACACCAGGGGGTTTATTACATGGAGATAACAAGTGGCAGACAAGACAGCTGAAACTGATATCTACAGAAACTCGAAAGGAAGAAGAGGGGCAAAATCTCACAGACTAATCCCTCCTTTCTCTCCTTTTTTTTCTTTATTGTCCAATACAAGTGAAACCTTGTGTTTTTTAGAAGCTTCGACAAAGGAAATGAGCTCGCCTTGCCCATTCTAAGCAACTCGACAGTGTTCTCTTTCTTTTTCTTGGGGACCAATTGGTTTCTGCTTCGATTCGGCTCAGCATCTCCCACATCACCCGCACATCCTCGTACTCGCACGAACTCACATCCTTCCGAAGCTTCATATGCCCTGTTTCAACCCACATTCAAGATTCCAAGCTTAAACAACCCATGTAATTCCAATATGAAAATTGTTCTTCTTTACAATAAAAGTTCATAAAAAATGATTTTTTTAATTAATTAGATTGTCGGGAACTGAGAATTACCTCTTTTACGAACGCCGATGCGGGCGGCGACACCGGTCCAAACTCTGCGAACCGGAAGCGTCATTCTAACAAAGGCCTGCATTCTTTTCGTCCACCTGAGAGGGGGGAGAGAGAGAGAGAGAGAGAGAGAGAGAGAGAGAGAGACTTCCTCCCAGAAATCAAAAGGACCAGAATTTAACTTACCTGCAACAAATCAAATTCCCCCAAAAAAGAATTAAAATCCATCAAATTCAAATACCAAATCAAAATTTGAAAAGAAAAAGAAAAATTAAAAGCGAAAGACAACCTTCTCTTTCGGTCTCTGTCTTTTTTTTTCCCTTCTTTTTTCTCTCTCCTATGCGACGCCTAAGCACTCCTGACTTGTATTTTAATGGCTTCCTTTTTTTAAATACAAATCGTTATTAAAAATTGTGATATTTTATTGATTATTTCAACTATTAAAAGTTATAAAATGATAATTTGATTATTTATATATTTTAAATTTATCATTTTTTATTAAAAAATTAATGCTCGTCTGGACTATAAATTAACTTGTTGATTAGAATATGATGAAATCATATTTTAATGATATTTAATAGCATCATTGTTGTTTTTAAGTACAAACTCGATAACATAATATTTTAAGTATTGGCTTGATGCCATAATGTAAACGGAAAATTGATCTATAAAATACGACTCAAATGATTATATGATAAAATTTTATCATATCTTAGTAGAATTACGTCTAGTTCAAAAGATCGCCAAATTTTTAACTAAAAAAACGAGTTTGGAACATATGAATAATTTGATGACTATTTTGTAACTTTTAATAATATGAGCTCAACAAAATAACGCCCTATAATCAAGAGATTATTTTATAATTTTTAATAGTTAAAGGACTTAAGAAGTTAATTACCTATAATAGAGGGATCATTTATGTACTTTACCCTTAAAAAAGCATACTGGGGATGACGTCATCGAGTCGCCTCCTGCCCGTTGGGAGTTGGGACCTGCCTTTGGATCCAATGCCTCTAACGGGAAATCTGGTAATCTGCTTTCCACTCTCCTTCCCACGTGCCAAATATCAATTGGTTGCTTCGCTTCTGTAATCGTACAGTCACGTGAGGGTATTATCATATTGGGCCCTCCAAGGCTTGTTTCTGCTCACGCTTTTGGAGAGGCGCGTGGATTGATCTTGTTGAGGGGCGAGCCACATGAAGCAGTCGCGTGGTATTGACCGCAAGATTCAGAGTGGGAGAGTGAGTAGAGGAAGGCAGTCAACGTCAGTGGGTGTATGTGTTGGAGGAGTGAGTTACGTGTCGTTGGAACAGTGGTGATGAGCGGAAGACTACGTTGATAGAAGCAAAATATCTACCATTTCCTTTCACCCAATATATTTTCACTATGCACTAGATATTTCAACTCAACATTTATATTTGGAGTTAAAAAGTGAGTGATAAGATTGTTATTAAAATTTAATATTTAAGTGATTAAAAATATTTTTAAATTTTTTTAAAGATTTCAAAGCTACTAAATTAAATAGGATAATAGAAATCTAAAATATAACACATAGAAGCCCAATTGTCAAATCGGATCCAACCGACTAATTGAAACATACGATCATTTCAATCGTCGGGATAAAATTTAAAATTGGGCCAACAGTTGTAAGAAATTAGGTTCGGGATAAAAATCGTGTTCTAGTCAGGTTGGATTAAACTTAGTTTAGATCTATGATGAAACGTTTGATCTTTGATCTAGGGACGGAATTAGAAAATTTATTTTGAGTGTAAAAATTAAAAATTGTATAAAGAAATTTTTTTTAGTGAATGAAAATGAATAATGAGTATCAATTTATTCACAATGAAAAGAGACATCCCCTTCAACAATTATATTGTCAAGATTAAAAGCATGATGATTATATCGAAATCAATTATATAGTAAAGTAGTTATTGGGGTAATTTACCTTTTTATTTGATCAATAAATAAGATATGAAACTGAATCAAGTTAAATATAACTATTTTTTAATGTCACGTCATATTTCAAATACAATATATGACCATAAAATTTGATTGGGTTTGAATTTAAATTCGAAGTCTCAAATGTTGAGCGTAGCTCGAAGCTTTGCAATTGGACTCGATTAGACTTTGTAGACGCCATATGTTGGTGTGCTTTTACAGGATTAGCTGACTGGGCAACCAAATTTCCAATACCAAAGGAACCTATTGGTTCAAGGAATAGTTAAGAGGAAAAGTCCTTATTAAAGAGGAAAAACATTGTTACTACAAATCACGTCAATAAAGGATTATATATGCGTATCATATTGTATTTTGCATAACGATGCGAATGATATTAGAATATTTAAAATTTTTGGGATCTGCGTAAAATAAAGGCCATATTTTGTGGATGAATTTGAAATATTAAAAAATTTGAGAATTAATTTAGATGAGAGTTATAGTTTAAAGATAAAATTGGAATGTTAAAAGGTTTGGAGATCAATCTAGAATGAGAATCATAGTTTAAGGACATACAGTGCAATTAGCTCTTAACTTTTTATGTGTCCAAAAAAGTTAAATTTAAAAAAAAAGAACTTTAGGAGGCCAAACATAATTTATCATATTTTTATATATTTATTATAATGGTTTAAATAAAGTTTTGAAAACTTTAGGGGGTTAAACATATATTTTCCTTCCAGTTTTATGTCTTTGATTTAAGAATTACGAATTACATGTCTTTTTTCTTTGGGTTTCTAGCTTTATAATTTTTTTCTTAATATAACACGAACTAAATGACTTCGATAGTTAAGAGATTATTGTTATCCTTCGAGATTTAAGAGTCGAGCACCACAGATGTAGAGATATAAACATTAATTGTTAAATAGTTGAAATTTTTGAACAAATATTATATTATTTAACCTCGATTTATTAAAAAAAAACCCTAATACTTCCTCTCTCATGCGCTTTGAACTATTTTCGTATGCACTTTAGCAACAACTAAAGTTAATCTAAAAATAAAGGTACAAAATATCAAAAACATTTAAAAGTAAAAAATCATTTTTAAGGCATAAAATCTTCTTTATAAAAACCTAATCCCTTAATTCATATACGCAAAAGTCTAACAATTATGTTAATCAAAACAGGTTTCGGAGGTTAGGATGATGTACTTAAACAACTTCGAGTGCTAAATTGATACAAAAATATCATAGGGACGAAAATGATAAATTGAATCTACTACAAGGACGAAATAACCCTTAAGCCTAAATTTTAAAATAATATTTATCTAATAATTAGCTTTAAACACTAAAAACATTATATAAATACTTAAATGTTAAATACTAATAAAAATAACAAAGGATTTATACGAATTCATAAAAGAATATGAAGTACAAATATAATTAACTTGTTACTTGAATTAATGATCAATACAATGGATATTATCAATCACATTTTCTCTCATCTTACAAACTAACGACATCAAAGATTCAATGAAATTTGAGTTTTAAAATAAATTATATAAAGTTAAGCACACATTAATTATTGATCTAACTATAAATTATGTGAATTGTTATAAAAAAATTGTTTTAAATAGTTGAAGGTGATTAAAAGTTAGTATCTATTTATAATTTTTTTAATCATTGACAATACACATGTCCTACAGATACAACTGCTCAAACTCAGAATTTTAAGAAGAAAACAACATTCTCTTTAACCATTAAGATCACTCAATAGATTCGTTATAAAAAATCTTACATATTATATATATAAAAGTAACTCATGATATATTAAAACAATGTATTATAAAAATATTATAATACTATATACATATTTAAAAGAAGTTTATGTCATATTGTACGAACTAAGCGACCTCAGTGATTAAATGATTGTTATTATCCCTTAAAGTCTGGGATTAGAACACCACATATACAAGAGTGTACGAATTTAATGTCAAATTATTGAGAGTATTTGAATAGATACTACCTTGTATTCACCCCATATTAATAAAAAAAAAGTTTTTCATATTATTGAATTATAATTTTTAATATCCATTAATTGATGGAATAGTAAAATAGATGCATATTATTCCATCTTGTAAAACTATATTAAAGCCTCGTGGACATGAATTATATGACTTAGGGGCCGTTTGTTTACTGCTGAATGGAACCATTCAGCGCTGAATGCTGAACCGTTCAACATTCAGCGTGTTTGATTCTCACCTCTGAATGAAGACTATGCTGAATGAAACAGCAAAACACTGCTGAATGATTCAACATTAAAGTACATTCTGAATCATTAAGCACCCGGTATTTTACCATAATACCTATTTTTTCACATGTTGTCTTATTAAACAATCATATCTTATAATATAATAAATCAATATGAAGGTAAAAATGAAAATATTCATAATTCAGATTGTACATTCAGAACCATTATCAAACAACATGTCACATTCATAGCTAATTCATACAGAGCCTTTGAATCATTTAGGTCATTGAATAATTGAGCGTTTAATCATTTTATTTTATCAAACAGCCCCTTAAATTACAAAAAATTCAGTATACATGAGTGGGGTCCATCTCCAGCTAAGTGCCACTAAACTAAGGTAATATAGTGTAAGATAAGATAAAGTGGGAGTAACAAACGTTTGGAGTGTGCTGTGATTAAGCATTTGCAATAATTCCATCATCAGATTAAGACCCTTTCTTTCTATTCATCTTTCTGATTAATTATGAGTCCATATCTTTCTTTCTTTCTTTTTTTGATTATGATTATTGTTTTACAGAAAGCAGCCGATATAGACGCAGTGCAATAACAAGTTAATTAGTTAATGAAAGTTGTTTTCACAGTATATGGACCATAAATGTTAGCCACGGATAGCACTTGCAGAAATGTAAAGTGGGGGCTTAGCCATTGAGTGCAGCAACCTCTTTCGTTCCATTTCAGAGCCTATTTTTACGAGGAATTTCATATGGTGGTCTGCTCAGCAACTCAAATCAACGTTAATGGCAACATTTTCCTAATAAGCAACAGAAAATCTCCTGTTTTCTGGCCATTAGTAGAATTAAAGAAACTTCCATTTTAGAAGAGAATAATAACTTTTATGTAAGAAATATAATACAAAGGATGAACTATATTGATAATCCATTTTATTTTCGGTTTGTCTTATTTTAGTTATTGGTTCTAAAAAATATTTTTTTGGCCATTTTACTCTATTGATTTACTATATTTCGATCATTGGATCGTTAACTTGCGATATTTTGATTACACGAAACGTTAGTAAAAATGATTAAATTTTAATTATCCCTTAATATTAGATAAAATACTAATTTGACCTTAA